GAGAGAGAGAGAGAGAGAGAGAGAGAGAGAGAGAGATTTCAGGCAGTGCCTATTTCGGGCCATGTGCGCCCAGGATCTGATTCGTCATTTTTGAGGACAGACATTGGTTTCAGACATTTGGAGGGGAGGCTATTTCTTGGACGACTATGAGTTCTACTCTTGTCTTCTCTCCCCTCTCCATCTTCGTCTCTTCTCCCCCCTCATCAACGGTGGTTTCTTCCCCATGTGTGTGCACAAGGAGGGACCTCTCTTCTGTGTATGATTCCCCTCCTTGCTGTGTGACATGTGTGATGCTGATTGTGTGAGTCGAGTCTGGATCTGATGTGTCAGGTCATATCTTTGAGTCTTCCACTGCGCTACATTGCATTATGTCGTTTTATTTTTTGTCCTGTTCATCACACTGGCGCTCCTTGGACATGTGCATCACTCATCTTCAGATGAGTATGCATCATGTGATCTGAACAGAAGCAAACAGAATGGATGTGATCGGAACAGAAGCAAACGGAATGGGTGGAATCTGAACAGAAGCAAACGGAGGGATGCTAGTGTAACAGACGAGGAGGCAAACGGAAGAAAACAGGATGGATGTGATCCAAACAGAAGCAAATGGAAGCAAACAGAATGGATGTGATCTGACCAGAAGCAAATGGAAGAAATGCTAGTGTAGCAGAAGGAAAGCAAACGGAACAGCAAACAGAAATGGATGTGATCGCGGAGTTAATCGTCGAAAGACTGCATGTATGGGTGACTGGCTGGATGGCTCGAACGATGCAGTTCGACAGACAGATGTGGGTGGGTGGGGTCGCATGCTACACAATGGTTTCATTGATCAATCATCAGGTCCCTGCTAAAACTGCTAAACTCCCTCATGCTCAACTGCCCAACTGATTAAATGATTAGCTGACATCACTGCTTGTGCTTTGATCTTGTTCTCTTTCTGCTTTTTCCCTTGTTTGTTGTTGTTGTTGTGCGTGTGCGTGTGTGTGTGTGTGTGTGTGTGTGTGTGTGTGTGTGTGTGTGTGTGTAAGTGTGTGTGTGTGTGTGTGTGTGTGTGTGTGTGTGTGTGTGTGGATGTGTTGGGGAGGGGAGGAGGAAGGGTGGGAGGGTGACATCGTTAATCACGACGCATGTGGAATGGAATTGAAGCCAAAAGCATTGGTGAATGCAGGGCTGATGGAGGCAGTGCGGTACTATTTCTGTGAGAGAAAATCTCAAGTCTACGCTGCATGGACATTTGGACTGTACGTACGCAGGACAACGATCCGAAGAGCGGACAAGTGGGAAAAGTGATGTGCATCAATGTTTCAGTATTTTGCATAGTTTCTTTCATGCATATCTTCTTGTCTTGTTAATTAATGAAACGTTGTGAGATGCGCAACAAAGGTACAGTTAAGGTTTTACTAACGAATGATGTTTGAACAGAACTTCTGGGATTGATGGTGGCATCGTTTAAGCTCCTTCTGGAGGATTGAAATATGCTGGAGTTCTTCTTATCATGATTGCTAACACACCCGAAATCCAAGATCAACTCACTTGGAATCGAACCCCTGACCTGCTACTACCAAAGAGGTGCATCGCTTAACCACTTGGTGAAGCGAGCTGGGATTGACGTGGTGTCCCCTGACTCAAATTAAGTTAACTCAAGTGCACGTCGTGAGGGGTACCGCACAGCAGATTATCGTCGAGGTACACACGCAAGATAACCTTTCATGCAGATCATGGATGAAAGGTTGAACCACCACTACCTACCGCATTTTTAGGCGTCAACGCAGTGGATGCATCTGTGCGCCTGTCCCAACGGATTACAGATGTACAGATAACACGATGACGGATTACGCTATAAGAAGGTTGGAGTCGAGGATCTGGATATCTGAACCTGTCCCAACTCCCTTTATCTGTCGGATAATCTGGGACAGGTTCAGATATCCAGATAAAGGGAACGTAGCTTGAGGTTTGACACTTCAAAAAAGATTCCAGTACGGCGAGCGCGAAGTAGCCAAACAATTTTTTTTTTTCCCCATCAGAACGCTGGTATGTTGAAAGTGCGGGCTCCTTGTGAACCACTACCTTCTTACCCCAACCCGAATACAACGTAGGGTCATTATAGCTGTGTATCTTAGACTGAAAGATGCCTCAAAAACAGCTATAATGACCGTATGCTGTATTCGGGGGAAGAAGGTAGTGCAAGCCCCTTCCACCAAAACGTCTGGCTGTAGGTGGTATGAAGGGGCCACGTTTTTGCTGTACTGGCCTGGCAGAGACTGTGCTTCGATTTGTCCTGACACAGAGAAAAAAGGGTTTGGCAATTTGGGGTCTGCTGTACTCGCGCTTCAACGGCGACAATGCTGTTAACGCAACTTAACGGTGCTAACGGTAGTTACTTAAGGGTGCATTGCACACCCTTGCTAGTGTCAAGTACCCACTACCATCTTCCCCCCCTTAACATAACGCCTATGCATTGTATTCGAGTTTAAAAAAAAAACCCAATGATTTGAATAGAACACATATGCGTTGTATTCGAATATAAGGGCTCCTCGCATCGCACGCACATGAGTTGAACTCGAATAGAAAGCAACCTATGCGTTGTATTCGTGTACAACGCATATGTGTTATGTTCGGGGGAAGACAACAAGACTGTTAACAGTGTTAAGTAACCACCATTAACCATGGTTAGCAGTGTGAAGTAATAACTACGGGTAACCATCATTATGTGCAGTCTTAACAGTCTTAACAGTCTTAACAGTGGTAAGATTGCTAACAGTGGTTTCTTGCGCGCTAAACAACCATCATTCGTGTACTGTGCGCTGATTGGTGGGTGAGTGCTTCCTACAGATTGTGATTTATTATATTATTATTGTATGAATAAAGAAGAGGGAATGTAATCAGATGATTCATGATGGTGATCCCTATAGCAAGCCAAACCTGGTATAAAGGATTTCATGGCTGTTTTTTTTTTGTTTCAGGGTCTTTCAATAATGATTTTCCTTGTTTTCCCATCCTGCGCCTCATCTTGTATCATGTGGAAAGAATGTCAGCAAGCCTTCTCCTCCTCCTCCTCCTCCTCCTCCTCCTTTTCCGGCGCCCTCTTGCGTCCATCTCCTCCTTGTGTCTTCTCGTTTTTTCGTCTCCTATCTCTGTGTTCTTCTTCCTCTGCTTGTCATCCTCGTCCTCCTCTCGTTCCCCATTGTGTCCTCCTCCTCCTGCTCTCCGTCTCCCTCCTGCTCACCGTCTCCTCCTCTCCTCCTCCCTTCCTCCTCCTCACCTCCTCCTCTCCCTCCTTCTTCTCCTCCTCCTCACCATCGTCGTTGTCCTCCTCTCCCTCTTCAGTGTCCTCCTCCTCCTCCTCCTCCTCCTCCCCCTCCGCCTTTTGTCTAAGTGCTCTCCTTCCCTCTTTGCAGCCCTCTGCTAGATTTCTCCTTGCTCGGTTTCTGTTTCATTGTTCTTCTTGATTGTGAGACTTTGGCGATGTAACTCATCTTACATGTCCGTTTGCTCTCTACCTCTTATATATTTATATGACTTGTCATCACATGTTTTTTTTCCCTTTTCTTTTGGCTCTGTTATGAACTGTTTGGCAGAGGGATGGTCGGCAACCCTGGTATCCTGCACGGAGGGGCAACGGCTTTTGCGCTTGACGAGACCTTTGGAGTTCTTTATGGTAACATATTACCTTTTTTTAATTTATTAATTTATTATTATTATTATTGTTTTAGAATTGTGGTATTTTACTCATCTGCATCTGGCAGAGTTCGAGCTCAGCACCTGGTCTGTATTTCAACAGTTCAGTTCACTTCAGTTCAGTTCAGGGGTGTTTGTACCAACTGGGCTACCGTCTTCATCCGAATAGAACGCCTGGTCAGGTCATTATAACTGTATCTGGACTGAAAATTGCACCAGACACGGCTATAATGACCGGGCGTTCTATTCGGGTGAAGACGGTAGGCCAGTTGGTGCGTGGTGAGTTGGCAACATATTTTACTACACCTCAAAACTTGCAAACATAATTGGAAAAAAAAACAGTCGAACAACTTTGGTCAGATCCGTGGAGTTTTTTAGGGTACATACTACACAGAGTCTACAGACCTACAGGCGGCCCATAAACGGAGATTTTCCAGTTGACAGGTGTGTCCTCAGTCTATACCTGGTTTACAGACCCCAGACTAATGACTGAGGGGCTAGGGTCAAGACAAGGTAGGTCTTTGCTCAGATTTTCTGGGTGCCTTCCAAGGTGAAACGCAATGCGAGGATTATGAGAGAGAAAGTTTGCAGGAGCTGCCAGTTAAAAACCTCCCTCCTTGAAGCCCAAACTGTGTCTTTTCTGTCCCCTCTCTCTCTCTCTCTCTCTCTCTCTCTCTCTCTCTCTCTCTCTCTCTCTCTCTCTCTCTCTCTCTCTCTCTCTCTCTCTCTCTCTCTCNTCTCTCTCTCTCTCTCTCTGTGAACCTCACGTGAGCCCCTTCGTCCTCTCCTACAAGACGGAACCGTAGGCACCGTAGCCTACTACTGTTAAGCTGGGGCCACCTCCATGGCTATGGAGGAGGTCCTCCTCTTCCTCGACCTTCACTGTAACTGCGTTGCACCCTCAGCTGTTCCATTTCTCTACCTCAATTCTCGCATAGCAGCAGAATCTTAGCTGGGCCGAGCAGCAACTGACTTAGATCGTAGATCGTAGATCGTACCGCAGCATTCTCCCGTATTTCTACATCAAATGGGGGACTCTCTCCCTCACCAGCGCGTCCTTACTGGACGTGCCTGACCCCTCCTGACCTACTGTGCACCTGGTTTGGGGGTGCAACCTGCTGTCTTCCTCTCAGTCTGCCATCTACCTTATGCGCTGGATGTAGATGCGCCTTATCGACGAGTATGTCCCTGGCTGTCCACATTTTTCCCTTCTAACCTGTCCCTCTAGAACCCTGTAAATCGCAGATAAGTCCTACCCAGGCCTCTATTCTTTCACCGGTATGGTCCCGCCGTCCCGGCTGCCGGAATTTTGCCCGTCTGACCTGTCTGACCTGTCCGCCCATAACCCTATAACTGTTAATTAAGCCCTTCCTGATGCCTTTTTCAACGAATGCGCACACATGTTTGCAGCTTTGTATCATGGCACACCAACCAACCAATACACACACACACACACACACACACACACACACACACACACACACACACACACACACACACACATGCACTTGCCCGCCTATACTTTTTTTTTTTTGTTGTATGGATGGTTTATGATGATTTGTGGATGGGACAGGAGAGAGGATCCGTAGAAAACACACACCCTAAGATGGGAACTCGCCGCATGTCACGCCATAACCATTGAGAACACATAATTCAGCAGAAGGGAAAAAAAAAAAGAAAAAAAAGGACAGCCATTGCAATTTTCAGGGTTCTTAGTTAAAGTACAACAAAAGACAGCCGTACCTCAGCAGAAGGAAAAAAAAACAAAAAAAAACAAACCCAGACGCGTCAAACTGCAAACTGCAATGGTGGTGGTGCAAATACGAAAGACTCGAGTAATTTTTTTGCATATCAGATAACATGCTTGGAAGTGCACACTGTGCATGGGATTCCGCATGCATGGGACACTACTCGTGCAGGGTACAAGATTAACAGCCCCCCCCCCCTCCCCCCCCCTCCAACCCCCCTCCCCCTGCCAAAAACAAATGTCAGGGGCCTGGGCGGGAGGTGACCTGCATACTTGCAATGTTTGCTGGCGAGGGAAACGAAGGCGGGCCATGCTTGGCACGTGGGGTTAACTCCTCCCCCCCCCCCCCCTTCCCCACAAGAAAAGACAAGAAAGTGGTCGTGGGCCTGGATGGGAGGTGCTACGTGTGCATGTGTACTAAGTCTGCCTGTGTGCTGCTGTTACTTTTGCTATTCTCCACATGAAATACCGTGCTCGGGTCGGGTATGCTGAACGTTTTCACAGGTCTCCTTGCGTGCACTCAATGCGATTGTGGTACTGATATAGCATTTGCATTCAATGACCTTCTTCTTGTTGCAGGATCTCTCCGTGTCGGTCCTGGGTTTACTGCAAATTTGGATGTCAACTATAAAAGGGTAATTTACTAATTTACTAATTAGCAATTGCAGCCACTGCCTATTTCAGTCCTCCCCTTCCGCCTGTATCTTTCTGTTCTCTTTCTGTTCGTTTTCCTTTGTTTTTTCTTCTTCCTTCCTCCTTCCTCCTTCCTCCCTCCTCCCTCCTCCTTCCTCCTTCCTCCCTCCTCCTTCCTCCTTCCTCCTTCCTCCTTCCTCCCTCCTCCTTCCTCCCTCCTGCGGGGGAGAGAGTGGGGAGAGAGTGGTTTCACAAAATCGGTGTGGCGACGTATAATGGTGGATCCAAATGTCATGATTCTACTGCTGTTAACCAGCAGCAGATGGATGACTGATCGATACAGCTGTTCCCACGTTTTTGGTGGAACAGTGTTCAGCCGATGCTGATGTGGCAGGTTGACCTTCGGCGGGTTATGGGGTGATAACAAGCCCCCCATAACAACAACTGTGTCAGCGCTGCTGACGTGGGAGGAGATGTAGCGGGTAGTAATCAGAACTTCAAATAAACGGGGAGTTGTTTCTGTTAATGCCAAGCATTCGTGGAGCATCGTCGATGTCCTCCTAATCTTGGCGATTCACATCCTTCTCCTCGTCTTTGTGTCCTCATCATCTTTCAATTTCAGCATCCTCTTCTTCCTTCTCCTCTTCCCCATCCCCCCCCCCGTCCCTCCTCCTCCTCCTCTTCCCCCTCCTCCTCCTCCTCCTCCTCGTCCCTTCCCTCTCCTCTCTCTCCTCCTCTTCGAATAAAAACAGAACAGATATATTGTTGATACTCACCACGTGGCAATTGTCATTATCGTAAACTTATGAAGCCATGTGGCACACATGCAACAGTCGTCGATTGGCATTGTGGCATCTGAAGCCCGCTGCGACTTGACAAATCGGGTAAGCAATCGATTGCTGAGGGAAAAATAAAAAATAAAAAAAATTGTGCGAAGGACGTTTGATACTCCGACAGGGCGAACTGCTGGCTGGGCAGTGGGGCCACCCTGTGGGTGGATTTGTCCGTCCCGCACTCCTGAGTAGTGGTGTGTGTGTGTGTGTGTGTGTGTGTGTGTGTGTGTGTGTGTGTGTGTGTTTAATTTGCACAATTTTGTTTTTTCAGTTTGCACAAAAAACAAAAATTAAGTGCTCAGAGCTTCACAAGGTTGATTATTATGAAGGTATCAACCCTGTGGTTTTCTTTTTTTTTCAATTTATTTTTAAACCACCAGCGGTGCAGAAATTTTATGGAACCGAAAATTTTTCACCGGGCTTGGCCTGGCCTGCCCAGCCTGAAAGGTTATTGGGCCAATTTTTTTACCTGAATTTTTTATTTATTTTATTTTATTTTTGATGATACATTTTTCTAATTTCTTTTCACAGATATATATTGTGTGAGCATATGCTACATCCCTGATTTTTTGGGACTTTTTGTCAATGGTAGGGAGGATAAGAATAGCCAAGGTTGGTGCAGTTAAGATTGTGTGCCCCCCCCCCCCCCCCCCCCCCCCCCCCCCCCCCCCCCCCCCCCCCCCCCCCCCCCCCCCCCCCCCCCCCACACTCGGTATGCGCCTTGGGTCAGGTAGGGGGAAACCTTTCCCAGTTTCAATCCATACAAGCGACTGCAAGTTTCGGCAGAAGACCTTTATTAAATAATAAATTTATTAAACTGTTGATTGCATTAGTTAGCTGCCTGTATTAGACAATTAAACTTCATTACATTTATTAAACTGTATTAAATGTGTATTTACTATTTATTTTGTTTCATTAACTTTCATTTGCACTCAAAACTTGCTGCTACCAGCAAGCAGCCTAGCTCAGTTGGTTAGGCACTCAGGTGGCATTCGGGAGGTCGAGGTCGAGGTCGTGGGTTCAATCTCCACTGCCCGCCTGGGGCCTGCTTGATGCCAACCAAGTGAAATAGTTGGCTTGCTCCCGCTGGTCGGCTCTGATAGGGTCTTTGACTCTATGGCCATCACAGGGGTATGTGTGTGTGGTGTGCTGGGGAGTGTTGGCCGTAGACACGTTTTTGGTGTACACGTGTACATCTTGTAAATGGGATGCTACCGTCTTCACCCGAATAGAACGCCCCCGGTCATTACCACTGTATCTAGACTGAAAGCTACACCAAATACAGCTATAATTTCCTGGCGTTCTATTTGGGTGAAGACGGTAGACCCGTTTTCCGCCAATGGATTGGCACCATCTACATAGGAGAGCTGTTATTGGGGGATTTGCCGGGGGTGTAGGTGGGGTTGGGGGGCCTCTTATCGCCATCTAAATTTTGGATAAACCCTAACCCCCAAGGGTATGTCTTCTTTCTGTTCCAAGGGTCTGGAAAAGATAGCTTGTATACATCCGTATTGACTCTATTGAGGAGTCGATAGCTTGTGTACAATTTTTTTTTTTTTTTTTTTTTTAAAGCTAT